GGGGGATGGCTGAAGCAAGCTGTCGGGACTGAATCAGCCATAAACATGGCGCCAGCCTTGCCATCTCGAGATACGAGAGTCGACAAATTCTGGCTGTTTACTGGGTAGCTAGAGTAGACAAGTGTGTGAGCGTTGGGACGGAACAGGTCTACAATGCAACTTCGCATGCCGTCTAGCAAGATCAACCAATCTCGCTCGTGATATTGGCATGCTAATGGCATGGGGCCTGGAGGTTGTGATGATGAAGTCGCCGATAAGAGCATGGTAAGGGTATGGTAAGGGCATGGCAAGTGTGTGGAGAATGTTCCCCATGATCGTGAGCTTCGTGGTTGATCGACACTTCAACGATGATGCAACATAGACGGGCAAGCATGGTTGGGTAGAAGGGGTGGGGGCAGACAAAGTAAGAGATGTTTTCCATCAAGCTTCCATACAGCTGAGGTGCTGCAGCGGTGAACCAATCTATGGGTTGGGTAGATGTGCAGAAGAACCCAAAGAGGCAAGCGTTCTCTTCCCCTCTGGACGGATAGTTACGCTGTCGGTCTTTGGACGATGTGTCTGGTTGGGTTGATCACGGACACCCACGCTATGAAGCCTGTGGCAGCATGATCTGCTCGATGGGAACGGTTCTGCGGTGGAACTAGCTGGCCGATGTCCGCTTAGGGTGTAACGACGGCCGAGTTGGTTTGCTCGGGATATCCGGAGATTATGGTGGTCTTGAACTTGATGCTCCGCGTGTCGACGGCCGCAGAGAAGCACTCTCTCGGATCACCCTTGTTCAAGACCCCGCCGCCTTTTTTCCCCCCTTCGTTCTTGATTGACCATGCCATTCGTGTGGTAACCTACCGCACGATTGGTGACTGTTTCGAGGGCCTGATGGAGAGAGCGAGAGGGAGAGAGAGTGAGGCAGAGTGATGCAGAGTGAGGCAGAGTGAGGCAGAGTGAGGCAGAGTGAGGCAGAGTGAGGCAGAGTGAGGCAGAGATGTGGAGATGGTGGCTTCAGCCATGTGAGATCATCAAACCAGACATCTGGGAAGCCCAGATAGAGGCTGTCAGGGACAAGCTCCATAAGCTCAGGGGGTGGCGATTCTGCTTCTATTCTCGGGATGAGGTTGTTGCCGTTCCTGTCCAAGCTTGCGTTCCCGCTGTGGGGACCCATGTCATCTCTCATCCAGATCTCCTCCAGGGCACAGAGGAGGTAGGAGCTCCTCCGAAGAGAAGAGGACAAGATCGGGGGCAGAATCGGACGTGACTGGAAACGGCCTGCCACCTTCCGTACTTAGTGAGACACCTACCTGCCATTAGAGTATATAACTGGCGAAAGGGGAAAGGGGGGAAAAGGGGGGAAAGGAAAAGAAAATATGGTCGAGTGGCTTGACAACGCCAGCCTCTGGTCTTTGGGCTTCTCGTGTGATGTAGGTGGTCCGATTTCGACAGGATGCTTAGGTAATGCGTCTACGGGCCCACTCATAAAAGTACAAAGTCGAGAAGCTCTGGCTGGTTAATGATGGTCTGTGCACTAGCTGTTCCGCTTGAAGACGGCTGTCTGACGGAGGGCCAAGCAATCAGGGCCCACTGCGTCGGCATGGCGACAAGGATCCGGGATTCTGAATGTACCTAGGTACTTATACAATGCCACTTTTTTCAGGTGTTGCTGCTAAGTTTAGGCGAGTCCCTGAGCTTCGAAAGGCTCTGATTGGACGAAGCTTAAGTTCATGTTGTGCCTACCTTACCTAGGTATGTACAACGTACGAATAATTCGTATAACGGACACACAAATTTCTTTGTAGATACCGGTAGAAGGTCGCCGTTTTGACATCGAATGGTTGTATGTAATTAGGTACTCCCGTAGAACGGTATACCGCGTACATAGGGCGATTGTTGCGAGCGGAAGCTTCACTCGTCGGTCGTGTACTGAATGACATAGACAAGGCAAATACATTTTTGACCACTGTATCCGCGCCGCTTGGCGTCAACTTCAAAACCTAGTATAGCCACGTGTGAGTATGTCTGTATAAGGCCTAGCAACGAGACTACTCGACCAAGTAGGAAAACAGGCGGTTGGCAGATCAATGAGCGTGGCCCGAAGACCAACAACAACCATAAAAAAGAACGAAAATAAGGAAAATAAGAAGAAGAAAACAAAAAGAAACATTGCTCCATCGGCCATCGGGTACACCGAACTTCGTGTAGTCAAACAACAGGGTTGAACAATAGGCATTTCGCGTGGTGGACGTCAATGGCAAGATATGTCCTAAGATCAAGGTATCGCAGAATAGGGCATAGGGGCGCTTTTATTCGACAGCCGAGAGTGAAAGCAGGCGTAGACAGAAACCGAGACTCCCGGGAATTTCTTCGCGTCGAAGCTAGCAAGCCAAGACCAAGAAAGGTTATTGTTCTGACCTGGCACACGTGGGCAATATTTTGATTAGATGCCCTGATCTTGAGGTTCTGTTCTTATCCCGTCCAAACTGCAAACAACGTACCTTTTACGTACCTAAAATACCTTCCTACCTCGGACTTTTTGGATGGACGAGACGCTATGACCACTTCACACTCACCCTTCAAAAGTACCAGCAGACTACCTACGTTGTACCTTAATAAATTAAGGTACTTCCGTCCCTGACAGGGGTGCTACGTGAGGTAAGGTACCTACCTATAGGTAGCTGGAAATCAGCCGGCTTTAATTGGCTTCCGAACCTACACAAAGGAAAAGAGAAAGGCTTTCTTTTAAGATTTAGAGAGAGCTAAAGGAAGTTCGTCTATAAGACCGACATGGTAAAGATCTTCCCAGGGACGCGACATACCTACGAAGTACGTTGTACACGTATGTATATCAGACAACTGGTGTAGGGAAGATCCGGCTGCGCCGTAATTATGTGTCTCGCGAGATCTACAGGGACCGGACCAATGAGGAGTCCGAAGATGCCAAGATGCTCTTCCACGAGGAACGTTGTAGGATTCGTGCGCTAATCTATTTTAGTACTAGCCCGAACAAGCATACGTTGAGACGTTCAGTTCACTCTCCTCGCTGAGGTAAGACTCAAGAACTAATTATTTGGATGAGAATCGTGAAGCGACCCAACCTACTGTGCCATTATGATTTCGAAAAGGAGTTCAACTTCTCGATCCCACCGTCTCGTGATGCCAAGCTACTGCGAAGTTTGATTGCCCAGAGACGTCTTCCTCTATGAACCTCTGTGAACCTTGCTATGGCAAAGGACGGCGAGGAGGTCGAACGAAGAGGCGGAGTCTGTCGCGACAATCAGATGCTGAAAAGCCCTGTCAACGCAAACGCAATTGATCCTCGCATCATGACTTACTTAATAGGGCAGTGAAATCCTCGACTGCGGCGAAAGGTAAACGAAGGATGAACCTAAGATTGCGGGGATGTTTAGCCACGTTTTTGGCCCTTTGCCTCTCCAGTAACTGCAGCAGTTTGTCGGACGGTGTACGCGCAAGGTGAGCCCCCAGGGACCCCAGCCCAAGATCGCCAAGGTCCGTGTGCGCTCCCGCCCACGGTTCCGTAGGAGAACGGAAACGGAGAGAGACTGGAGCTTCGCGTCAAACTAGCCCTTCTAGCTGTTCAGCGACGGGATGATAAAAGCAGACCATGATCGCAACCGAGAAGCTTGAAGAAAAACCTCTACCATTATCACACACACACACTTCTCTCTCCCTCAACACAGCAATCATTAAACCTCCTCCCCCTCCCTCTCACCCGTCACCACTCTGTAATAAACTTTTACAACACTCAAGAGTGTGGCTTGGGGTTTGACGAATCCAATCCCCCCCCCCCCTTCCCCCGACCTTTCCTCTTCCTCCTTTTCGTTAGTCATCCTCACAAGAAAGCCGTCATCATGAACTCGCTCAAGCTCTCCGTACTTCTGCCTCTTCTCGCCGGCTCGGCTGAGGCGGCCGTGGCTCATCCCCTCGTGAGCCGTCAGGGCCACAGCCACGCCGCCAACCGCTGGGACATGCCTGTGGACTACACTCCCTTCGGCAACCTTGCTACCGTCGAGCTTGGTGTTCCCGGCCAGGAGGTCACCGTCTTCCTCGACTGGACCTGGGCCAACAACTTCATCCAGACCCCTCGCTGCTATGGCACGTGGGACCGCAGCCTCTGCATGTCGGACATGATGGCCGTCTACGACCCGCGCAACTCCAGCACGTTCGTCAACGTGACGGATGTGTACCCCCGCCAGCAGTGGTTCCCCAACCACTTCTTCTTCACCGAGCCGTCGACCATTGACCATGGCATCGACTCGGTGCAGATCGGCCCCGTCCGCTCGCCCGTCATCAACCAGTTCTCCGACACCATGTTCGACATGAGCCAGTTCTTCCTCCCCTTCACCGTCGTCTTCGGCATGTCGCCCACGCTGCCGGGCCAGGACGAGTCGTACGACGCCACGTTCTACCAGCAGTACAAGCAGGGTCTCTGGAAGCAGCCCTACGTCGGCTACGTCTGGTGCTACGACGAGGACAAGATCGGTGCCTGCGGCGGCAACGACGCCATCCAGTCCTGGGGCGGCTACCGCAAGGACCTCGTCAAGGGCCGGGTCTACTGGTACGACAACGTCGTGTTCCCCGACATCAACGACATCAGCTACGTCTACGACCCCCCCTTCCTGAACTACTGGGGCACCCCGCTCCAGGACCTCTGGATCGGCGACGAGCTCCAGCCCACGGTGGCCACCTCGGAGCGGTCCGGCAAGGGCGCCATCTTCAACCACGCCACCTTCGGCCGCGGCATCCCGCTGACGCAGAACGCCTACAACAAGCTCGTCCAGATCGTCGCCGGCGAGGAGCTCAACCTCGAGAACCCCACCGTCGTCAACAACGGCGAGCAGCAGCTCTACTCGGTCAGCTGCGAGAACATCGACTCGTACCCCACCGTCAAGTACCAGTTCGTCGGCCACCGCAAGGTCTGGGAGGTCCCGGCCAAGCACTACATCGACCAGCTCGAGGACGGCACCTGCGTCCTGAACGCTCGCGCCACTGCTGAGGGTGACCAGTTCCTTGGCTCCTTCGGTGATCAGTTCCTCAAGGACAAACAGATCGTCTTTGTAAGCTCTCCTCCTTTCCCTCTCTCTGTCTCTCTCTCTCTCTCTCTCCCTCCCCCCCCCCTCCTCCCTCTTCGCTGCCGGCTTCCGTAGCAGATGCTAACACTTCCTCTCAGGACTTTGCCAAGCTCAAGATCGGTCTTGCTGAGATCAAGTGGCCCCAGTGCTAAGCACTAGGCGACTATCGACAGACATGAGCCGTCTTTTCACCTGAAAGAACTTTTTCTCTCCCTTTTTTTCGGTTTTATTTTATTCCACCATGGACGATGAGCGTGCCCCCGCCGGAGTTCCTTCCCGACTTAGATATGGGGCAAGGGCTCTCGGGGATGCATGGGCACGCAGCGGGCGTAAAGCGAAACAGTACATATGATAGATCGGTCGGTTTCTTTCCTCTTTGTCGCATCTTTCCGGGGAGCTTTTAGACTATTGGGGTCAAGCATTTTGCGCGGAACATCAGCATAGAAGAGAAGAGTAGCATCATGAGCTAGCGAGTTCTGTGTAATATTACCACGTTTTTGTTCAAAAACTTGGAGATTCTGAATCGTAGAACCGTCGTTTTTTTCCTTTCGCCTTTATCTTTTGGTCTTCCGTTGGCTCGCGGCGAGCAGGGAGGGAGAAAAAAGGGTTGTCTCTTGGTTAGCGGTTGTTCCCTTGGCGAAACTCGGATGTTCCCGTATCAGGTCCTTGGCGCAGTAAAATCCATTTCCGGGGCTTTGCTAAGGTACAACGTACTGTACAGTACACTATCGTGGTACGCAAAGCCCCTTTGAGGTGAATGCCAGCAAGCGAAGCCAGCGGCAATTCTTCCATGTCTGGGGAGAGAACCGACATTCATTGCGACTGGGAGATTTACGCATACAGAGTACACGTGTAGAACTGCATCAGTCACCGAGTCTTACGTAAGGTATCCATCAAAACTGCTCGTGACATGATCCGTGCGCCGCTTCCTTCTCGGTATCGTCGAAATCGCAATGGCGTCAATTCTGTTCATTCTCTGACCATCCAAGTCGACTGTATCAGTTTCCTTTCCAATTACTTCTAACTTACGACGCAGAAAATCGGCGTGGTCATTTGTGATGAAGTGATCTGGTCGCTGACTTATCCTGCGCTTTGCTCTCCTTCCGTCCATTTGCGCCACAAAAAAAGAAAGAAGAAAAGAAGAAAAACAAGGCGTCGTCCAGCCCTCTCACGATCCGGCCTCTTTCGCTTTCCCTGGAGATTCCGTCGTAGGGAGCACTGCATCGAACACGGTCACCGACAAACTTTTTCGTGTAGAGATTCGGAAGAATGGCAACAGAGCATTATTATTGACCATGGGTTGACTGATCATTGCGGACAGCACCCGCTCCCCATTCCCAGCGGGACGCCGTTAGGTCTCACAACCTTTTGACGACACTGGCCATCGCGGTTAACGGGACCCTTTGCCTATAAGTCAATGGCCTCATATTCCGGCCGACGACTGATATCTGTCGAAGCTCTCCAGAGAGTCTGCCGATTTTATCCTGCAGACTGTCGAAAATGGCAAGGCTGGGTCATCCCTCATTCCCTCCTCCGGCTCGGTCGAAAGTCAACGGCTTCCTGCTCCTCAACGAACAATGCTGCTTCATCCTTTGTGACTGACCGCGCCCGGTTCGGATTCACCGCTGCCGGTTGTCAATTCCTTTCTCTCACTATACCCCATTATTTTTAGTGCGGTTGTGCTGTGTCGTGCCATTCATTCATCGGTTCCGTCGCTGAGCGGCTGGCGGGGACGCCCGTGTGCCCTTCATGCACCTCCGAAGGGGGACGGACCTGACGGCCACCGTCCGGAGCCCGCGACAGGCTTTGAGTAACCAGCCGCCCGGTGTACACCGAGAAGCGAACTTGATGATGTTCCAGTCAATACTTATTATTCCCTCTCCCATCAGTCAAGTTCGAGAGAATGTTTCCAAGTCGCTCTTGCCACTAAATGAACAACTGACGATTGTATTTATCTGCCTACAGGTTTAGACTTCTTTGCTTTCTCTGTTCATCTAGCCCAGCGAGCCCTTGTACTTTGTTCGTTTCTTATACGTCTCTATACCTTACCTAGCTTTCGAGCTACCAAGTTCGACTTCCTGCTTCCCCCCTAAATACTTCCGTCAAGTACACAGATACACAGTTCGCGATGGCAAGTTCACCAGTCGACACCCAGGTCCTCATCGTCGGTGGAGGTATCGGCGGCCTCACCCTCGCCGCTATTCTCCAGCGCCTCGACATTCCCTGCATCGTCCTGGAACGGTCCAGCACACACACTCCGGTAGGTGCCGGCATCTCGCTGGCCCCCAACGGTCTGCGCATGCTCGACCAGCTGGGCATCTACGAGAAGGTCCTGGCCGCGGGCCAGAAGCTTCGCAAAGTTCAGATCTGGCGCAACGACTCCCAATGGAACACCCTGGACTGGTCCCCCTGCGAAGCCAAGTTCGGCTACCCGGTCATGTCCATGGAGCGGCACCACTTCCAGCGCCTCCTGCACGAGGCCGCCGGCGGCGAGGAATTCGTCCAGTACGGCGCCAAGGTCGTCGACGTGATCGACAACCCCAGCGAGCCGGGCGTCAAGGTCATCCTCGACTCTGGCAAGGAGTACCGCGCCAACATGGTCGTCGGTGCTGATGGCATCCGCTCCGTCGTGCGCCGCTGTCTTGCCAGGGACGAGGGCATGAAGGAGGCCAACACGATCAAGTTCACCGGCCGCGTGCACATGAGCGGCATCACGGAGCCCCTCGCTAACCTCAACAGCGAGCACCTGGGCGTGGCCAACTGGATGCTCTACGATCACGCCACACTTACCACTTGGCCTTGTCATAACAACAGCCAGTGGTTTATTGGTGTTGCTGTAAGTTCTGGCTCATTCCCCCAATCCCCCCATCGCCGCCGTGTTGTGGTCAGATGGGCGTGCTTATCCCGGGGCGAGCAGAGGTCTAATTTAAGAGCAGAAATCCGAAGATGCGGTTGCTACCGATCGCTCGGTATGGGCCAAATGCACAGAAGATACCATCAACAAAGTCTATGGGGAAGGATTCCATCCCTTCGCCGAGAGCGGGAAAATGAGCGAGTGTAAGTACAGCCCTGCTCCTCCCCCAAGCCACACATTCCGGTTCCTCCTCTGGGAACAATTGGAACGCCGCGCTTACACACTGTCCAAACCCCCGGCAGTGGTCAACAAGAATCAACGCATCCTTGCGTCCAATGTCTTCCAGGAAACCGAGTTTCCTTCCATGTCACGTGGCAGAGTTTGCCTGATGGGTGATGGTAAGAAGAGCACCTTTTAGCCCCCTCCCTCTCTCCCCTTGTACCTGTTCAACAAGAGACTGACAGTCTGCAACAGCTGCGCACTCCATGTCCTCAGCCTTGTAAGTCACGTTCCCCCATCGTCTCGTTTTTATTGGTAAAGCCGTTGGAGACCGGAGGTCGGTCCAGTTGCTTGTGCCGACCCTGGCTCCCTCTTCCACCCCCGAACTCCGGACCCCGCCGGAAGCCGTGCTGTCCACACAGCCACACTTTTCTTCTACCTTGTCGGCGTTTTGCTAATGGAGACTCTGCGATTTTAGCGGCCAGGGAGGAAACATGGCGTAAGTCTACCCCGAGATGGCAATAACCCTACCATTGTGACAGGACCTTTTTTTTTTCTTCTTTTTTTCTTCTCTTTGCCTTTTCCTTTAACTAACAACAAATGCAGGATCGAAGATGCCGCGGTGCTCGCCAATCTGATCCAGGCGAACCGCGATTCGCTAGACAATGCCGCTCCCTTCCTGACCGAGTACAGCGATATGCGCTGCAAGCGAGCTCAGGACGTGGTCAAGTTCAGCTTCCGCTTCATTCTCCTGCACGGCGCCATCTTGCCCTACGGCATTGGCAAGCTGCTCCGCTGGCTCGTGTATGCGTTCCTGCCCGCTTCGACCTGGCTCTGGTACCTCCAGTGGTTGTATGGCTATCAGCCCACCGTCGATGCTCTGGGCACTCCCACCAAGGCCTCGAAGTGAGAATGAAGAAACAAAAAAAATAGAAAAAGAAAAAGGAAAAGGAAAGGAAAGTGGTGGTTTGCGTCCACGACCACGACGACATCGACGGTAATGATGATGATGATGAGCATCAGACGCGGCGGTCCATGACTTCACTCCTCTGACCGGGCCATTAGCATACCGCCTGCCGGTGGCTCCGAGAGACAAACCTCATCCTTCCGGATACGTATACTAGACTTGTTAGGTCATCTCCTTTGTTCCGGTTGTTCGTGCGGGATTCCTGATTACAAGCTGCCTCGTGCCAGTCAGGCACGAAGAATACGATCGGACTAGCAAGTGAAAGACGGAGTGGAGGGCGAGCTAGTCGCCGATCTGCCACGGGCAAATGGCTAACAAGGTGGTCGGTCTCTTGGCTGTTCCTGGAGGAAGCGGGGTGGAGGAGATCGCGTGGGTGCTATTTCAAGAACAAATTAAGTTGACAGGGGTGCTATAGAGGTTAAGAGTACAGCGGAGCGGGTATCTTAGACGAAGATCATCGACATCCGTGCCCGGCAAGGCTATGGAATGTCAATGATCATCGGTATGTAATCATTGATTTGGAGAAGAGCGGGGGCGTGAGCGGGGGGAGCCTTTTTTTTGTTCTTTTTTTTTTGGTTCTACATTAGGGTGTTTTTGTTGCTTTCTTACATTAGCCTTGGGATTTGGTTTCAATACACGTGGGATCTATTTTTTCCCCTCTGATATCACATGCAATGTCATCCTGGTCAGTGTCGAAAGTTGAATTGCACAAGGAATGCACCGGGATGCGACGTTGTGATACGTGGACCACGGAGAAGGGGGCTTGGGTAATAGGGGGAGACTTGGCTTGACCTGTATTATGGCTCTTACTGGTTATTTTCCGTTTACGAAGTGATTTTTGGCGTTTATGCAAGTTGTCTTGATCTGGACAGTGCAATGGCTGTGCTTTTTTATCGACTTACTACTTGTGTCCATCGGATGAATAGTATACGAGGAATGCGAAGTGCCTATACCGTGAGCAGATGCCTCGTGAAAGATCAATGTTATGAAGTAGAATGATGATGACCCTTGCGTTTTGCAACTCATCAATGGGTTGACTTCTATGCCACCTAGGTAGACCGTAGGACTACTGGTGCTTGAAATGACCGCACATACCTACACAACGACAACAGATGGACTGGAGGCCCACGCTACCCGACATATCTACAAGCATACACTGTCGAAGGTTCAGATGGTTCTACTCGAAGCTGGTCCTTGCAGTTGATGTCCTTGATGATTAGTGACATATGGTGTCCGAAACATTGCGGCTGTCCATCCGTGCAGGCGGGCAGTAATTAGCAACGTGGTGCCCAAAAATGGAACATTAGCAAGACCGGAAGGCGGAAGGCAGTCTGGGCATGTAACGGTAATCGAATCAGGCACAATAGGAGCTCGATCGTGGACTGGTTACTGGTGTGTGGTGTGTGCAAACTTGGGAAGTTCCAGGGGTAAACTTCTCCACTCCCACGAGATCATCCCAACCCATCCCACATGGGAAAGTAGTGAGACGCTAAATAGGTTGGATGATATGTACAACGTAGACCGAGAGAGGGGTAACTAGGACGAGGGTTGGACGAGGGTTGGGTTATGAAGGATGCGATGATGGAGGTGAGGGGAGGTGAACATAGTCCGCGTAAACCAGGCAAGCAACAGCAACCAAGCAGAGACATGTTCGGAAATTGGAAGATGATCTGCTCCTATGAAGGCACGCAGCTCGGTCTTGGTCGAGGGCCTTGCCGGGCTTATTCGAGGCCAGGTCAGGAAGCCCATTGGGCGTTGCGCGGTGTGATCACCTCATCATCCAGATCATCGGGACTTTCGAGGACCTGGGGCTTATCTTATCAATAGGATGGATCCCTTACCAAATATGCACGTATACGGACATTTGCAGATTACGTTGTATCCAAAAAAAGCTCAGACAGGCTGAGTCCCGGTCTCAGATGGGGAGGGTATCCTGGTAGCTGGACCTCGACCTGGCCCATCAGCTTCTCGATTGGGTCCTGCGCAGCCTGACTGGCGGGCATTGCGCCTGGGCAGCTCCGTTTGCTTACCCTTGGAGGTAGCTGATTATCACTCGGACTGCCGTCACAGGGCTGCCGAGTCCTCGAGGATTCAGAGTGTAAGCAAAGTGACGCATTAAAGACCGTCGAAGGAGGCTTGCTTGTCATGCCAACCAACGGTGGTGTGTACGAAGAGGGTATTCTGAGAAACTTACGTGGTGGGGGCCAGACGATTTATCGAGTAATTGCTGAGTGGGAGTGCGCAGCAGAAGCAGTACGGTAAGAAGGAATCAATTATTACGTATCTTGTTCCATACCGTACCTCGAGTCAACGGACAGACAGACGGACGAAACGTAAGGTACCTAAGTAGGGTACCTTACCTTGATTAGCTACGTAAGGGCAGACGGTGGACGAGTTGGGCGAGAAAGCCAAGGTAAAACGAGGCAGGTACCAGTAAGACTCGAGCCTGGATCGGGTCAACTAAGGGACCAAGGTTACATCAAGTGGAAAAAAACGCAGACCCAGACTTGTGAAGACATCACCACAGGATCGCGAGGTGTGAGGCGTGAGTTGCTCAGTAAAACGTACGGAGCAGGTAGGAAGGAGTAGGCAATCTAAGGCGGAGCAGGTAAAAGGCGAGGTAGGTAGCTGACGTGGGCGGAGGGTTGTGGCTCCCGTCTCCCCGTAATAATCCTCACTGCTCGAAAGTACCTTCTCTGTTCTTAGAACGCTGCCCCACTCTGAAGCTAGCGGGGGATGCAGAGAATCATGAGAGAGATACGTACCTACTCGTATGTACCGTTGTACCCCACCTTACCTCTGGCCGTTGCAGGGACTAACTAAGGTAGCTTACATACAAGGTACAGTACATGCACGCCTTTGAGATTCACGCCCCTGGTGCGTATTTCATTTTTGGAACACTGACAACAGGGTTGTTTATAGGAGCACCCCACCTCCATCTTCAGGACATCTTCACCCCATCACGCCCCTCCTACCGACCTCCTTCACCCCACCCCCCTTCATTTTCTTCGAAGTGCCTAACCCCGGTCACAGTGCTCTGCCCTCTCACATTTTCCCAAGGTACCTCACCTACCTTACCTCGACAGCTTTCAAGTATAAGGGATCATGGACTGCCGCCATTGGGAACTCGACGCACTCGCTCACTCTTTCACTACTGAGCTTTCAAATAAATAAAAAAGCCAAGATCAGGAACAGAAGATTCAAGTCTGCAACATACTCCTCTTTTTATTCATCAGAATATATACTCATCTCTGTTTCCTACCGCCCCAACTACTACTCGCCTGAACTGGGCGTTCGTACACGTATGACAGCCGCCCGCCAACTCACAACCAGACAGCAGATCGTGGACTCATTTTTCATCTCTTGAGTCTACGAACTGAAACCGTCCGTCTTCGTCACTCGGTCCTCCCTCCCTCCCCCCTCCCCCTTCACACATACCCTACCATGTCTCTTGCCTCCAGGCACCCGCTCCGCAAGAGCTGCAGCTTCTGCCGGGCTCGCAAGATCAAGTGCAGCAACGGCACTATCTGCGAAGCCTGCAAGAAGCAGAACGTGGACTGCGTTTACGACTGGGACTCGAGGCCCACCAAGGCACGCACCCTCTCCCAAGAAAGCCCCAGACCCGACAATGGCCTTCCGGGTTTCGCCACTCCGCAAAGGCAGCGCTCCTCAACCGGCGGTTCCCCCAGCTCAACACCGCCCGGCGTTATCCTCGAGGAGCCCGATCACCTCGACAGCGCCTCGGGCCTCATGCCCCCGGAGAATGCCGAGACCGTCGCTAGCCTCCTCGTCCAGATGTGGAACGAGAACTTCACAGAAGCCGGCCATGCAGGTATTAAGCAGAACCCGTGGCGGGAGAGGATAGCTACCTTCCACCAGACCGTTCAAGCCAACCTTCAGGACCGCTCCGACCACGTCGTACAGACCAAGTTCACCCTCACCAACGTCAAGTACACCGGCATCCTCAGCTTGCTCACCCAAGATCTCGTCGGTCTTGTGGTGGATAAGTTTGGTGGTCTGGGCTCTCTCTTCATGGACCAGGGCGGCGGTCGCTTCTTCCTCACCGGCCTCGCCAACGATACCACCCAGACCATGTTCGATCCCTCGAGGCCGGGGCCGAGCCCCCTTTCCGAGCTCGGCCAGCGCCAGATCACCCAGATGATCGACGTCTGGTACAGCGTCCATCCCTTGTCCTTCCTGGTCTCGAAGACCCTTCTTCTCCGCGAACTTCGTGACGGCACCCACGACGACGTTCTCCTGGCCGTCATCCTCGCCGACGCCTCCTTCTCCATCGGCGATGACGTCTCCATCGCACGTGGTCATGTTATGCTTCGCTGGGCCGCCGCCCAGCTCCAATCCCGTTCTTTCCCTACCCGCGCCGGCCAGTCCAACCCGGCCGGTGCCGCCCCTCTCGCCATTTCCACCGCCCAGGCCCTCATGCTCATGGGATGGAACGCTCTCTGCCAATACCACGTCCGCCGTGCGACTTGTTACATCGGCCTCGCGTCGAAGCTGGCTACCGAGCTGAAGGACCTCTATTCGTCCGGCGCCGTACCCATGGCCACCAGCCGCATCAACGGCATCGACGTCTTCGAAGTGGAGAAGGAGGTGGTCGCCTACCTCTACTGGACGACCTATACCTGCACCCTCTGGACCTTTATGCAGATCGGCAACAACTTCTCTGCCCTGCTCCCCACGAGCCTGACTTCCATCTTCCTCCCCGTCGACGAGACTAGCTCCGTTCTGATGCGCCTTGATGAGGTGTCGGACAATTTCTCCACCCTCCAGAGGCAAAAGGCCGTGATCAAGGAGATGTGGCCCCTTGCCCACATCGCCTCCATCACCGCCTATATCTATGCCCTCTACCCCCAAGAGTCTGACCCCAATGAACCTGTCAGCACAAACTTCTGGCAGGAGGCCCCTCTCCTTGCGCTGCAGCGCAT